GATTTCATTTGAGGTAGAATTTAAAGTACTAAGATTTCATAAAATACATGAGGTAGGAATACACAAAATATATAGTAAACATGAGGTAGGGATATATGAAATATAGTGAACTAAACACTACTTTTACAGCAAGTATGGCTTTTTAAGTTTCCTGGTTTCTTGGGTCTCTCAATAGCATGCTCTTAACCTAAGTCTATTTTTGTCCTCTCAATATACCATATTTTTTAAATCCAGTTCACCATTGATGGGCACCTAGATTGATTCCATGTCTTTGCTATTGTGAATACTGCAGTAAACATACGAATGCAGCTGTCTTTTTGGTAGAACAATTTCTTTTCCTTTGAATATACACCCAGAAATGGAACTACTATGTCTAATGGTAGTTCTATTTTTAGCTCTTGGAGAAATTTTCAAACGACTGAGCAAAACATTTACATTTTACATTTACATTCCCACCAACAGTGTACAAGGGTTCCCTTTTCTCTGAAACCTTGCCAACACCTGTTATTTTTTAGTTTTTAATAATAGCTATTCTGGGGCTGGGTGCAGTAGTTTACACCTGTAATCCCAGCACTTTGGGAGGCTGAGGTGGGAGGATTGCTTGATCCCAGAGGTTTAAGAGCAACCTGGGCAACATAGCGAGACCTCATCTCTACAAAAAAAAAATCAAGTAAGTATCTGGGCATGATGGCATGTCCTCATAGTCCCAACTACTCAGGAGGTTGAGAAAGAAGGATCACTTGAACCCAGGAGTTCAAGACAGTGGTGAGTCATGATCATGCCACTGCACTCCAGCCTGGGTGACAAAGTGAGACTCAGGCTCAGATAATAATATTAGTAGTAGTATTTAATAATAATTAAATAACTTAAATATATTAAATAATTTAATAATGATTTATTTTTATTATTATTATTATAGTTGTTCTGGCTGATTTGAGACGGTATCACATTATGGTTTTGATTTGCATTTCTCTGATAATTAGTGATGTTGATTTTTTTTTGTATTTGTTGGTCACTTTTATGTCTTCTTTTAGAAGTGTCTGTTCATGTCCTTTGCCCATTTTTTAATGGGGTTATTTGATTTTCTTCTTGTAGATATGTTTAAGTTCCTCAGAGATTCTGGATATTAGTCTTTTGTCAAATGCATAGTTTGCAATTATTTTCTTCCATTCTGTAGGTTGTCTGTTTACTCTATTGATAGTTTCTTTTGCTGTGCAGTTCTTTAGTTTAATTAGGTTGCAATTGTCAATTTTTGTTTTTGCTGCATTTGTTTTTGTGGCTTAATCATGAATTATTTACCTATGCCAATCTCCAAAATAATGTTTCCTAGGTTTTCTTCTAGAATTTTTGTAGTCTGAAGTCTTATATTTAAGTCTTTAATCTATCCTGAGTTAATTTTTGTATATGGTGACAGGTCAGAGTTCAGTTTCATTGTTCTGCAAATGGTTAGCCAGTTTCCCTGGCACCATTTATTGAATGAGGTGCCCTTTCCCCGTTACTTATTTTTATTGACTTTGTCAGAAATCAGTTGGTTGTAGGTTTATGGCTTCATTTCTGAGTTCTCTGTTCTGTTCCATTGGTCTATGAGTCTATATTTGTACAAGTACCATACTGTTTTGGTTATTATAGTCTTAAAGTAAATTTGGAAGCCTGGTAAGGTGATGCCTCTGGCTTTGTTCTTTTTGCTTAGGATTGCTTTGGCTATTTGGGCTCTTTTTTGTTTCCATGTAAGATTTAGAATCATTTTTTCTAATTCTGCAAAAAAATTACATTGGCAATTTAATAAGAATTGTGTTCAATCTATAGATTGCTTTAGGTGATATGGACATTTTAACAGTATTGCTTCTCCTAATCCATGAGCATAGAATGTTTTTTCCATTTGTTTGTCATCCATGATTTCTTTCAACAGTGTTTTGTAGTTCCCCTTATAGAGATCTTTCACCTGGTTGATATATTCCTAGATATTTTATTTTTATTATAATTGGTTTTCCTATTCTGTAAGAATTTTTTTTTAATTTTACAAATAGTTTTTTCAAATGTACTTGGGGAAATGCTGTGTAAATTAAAACTAACTCTCAAATTTAATTGTGTATATGTTACAGCTGAGTGAAGGAGAGACAATCATGTCATTTGAAAATTCAGAGAATCCAGTTTATCCTGTAATTCATCGTCAGTATATTTATTTTTTATCTAGTAAAGAAACTAAAGAAAAATTTATGAAGAACCCAATCAAATATATCCGCCAACCCAAACCTAAGCCTACTGTGCCCATTAGGATTATAATTGTGGGGCCTCCCAAATCTGGGAAAACCACAGGTGAGTGTATGTTTTCTTTTTGAAAGGGTAAACTGAGGCAAAGTGGGCCGGTACTGCAGGAATAATGCAAGATTGCAACAAAGAAGGAAGTAGAACAAAGTAAAGTTTATTATTCACCTTTCAAAGGGGCCGACACTCAGGTGAGTGTGGCTCCAAAGGGCTGAGGACTGGGCATATTTAAGGCCCTTGGGACAAGGAGGTTTTGGGCCTGGAGGGGTTTGGCCCAAAAGGAATGTCCAGTGCTGTGTTCTTTCGTGTTGAAAGCAGTCACATACATCTTGGATCTAGACAACACCAGGCACCAGCATCTCAGGGACTTGGGTGGTGGGCTGGAGGCTGGTCATTGTGGGGTGATAATATATCACTACAGATGCCTCCCAGTGGTGGGCTAGAGGTCCTCATCAGCTGTTATCAATGTACTGACACAAACGCCTGGAAGAAAGATTGTTAGGAGGACTGGACATGCTGAAGGGGGTTTGAATAATCGCTGACTTCTAAGGCCTAACCCAGGGAGACCAGTTCTGGGAACCAGTTTCAGGAAAGGTGATTTCTCTTATTAATGATTATAAGGTAAGAGGGACGTGGAAGCCATACAAGCTGCTTAGCAAAGCGTGTCAGTGGTAAAACTGAAACAAAATGGCTACGCTGGGGCAAAATGGCTGCACTAAAGCTAAGTCTATTCTAAAGTTCTTGGGGTCCCTCCTTTCACCTTTGCTTTCCCCAAGCATAAAAAGATCACTTTGTAACTTTCATAGGTCTGTTGCCCAATGCACACAGCCAGTCAGTACCCCGAGGCACCAGGTTGCAGCAGAGAAAGGGGTTGAACCACTAGGCCACTAAACATGAAAACCTGAAATCTGTCTCCCTGAGGAGTTTGGGGCTAGGGTTTTGGAGTGGGCAGAAGTGTGAAGATAGTTGGCTGGTAGATGAAGGGTGCAGGGTGAAGTCATGGGACGTGAAGATGAAGATGCTGTATTCTCATACTGACTCGGTTCCTCTGTGGAGGTCTTTAAACTGGTTGGCATTAGCTGTTCCACTGGGATTCAGAATCGCTTTTTTTTTCTTTCTTGAGACAGAGTCTAACTCACCCAGCTCACTACAGCCTCAAATTCCCCTGCTCAAGTAATCCTGCTGTCTCAGTCTCCCAAATAGCTGAGACTACAGGCAAGTGCCATCAGTCCTGGCTAATTTTTTTTGTTTAATTTTTGGTAGAGATGGGGTCTCACTCTGTTGCACAGGATGGTCATGAACTCCTGTCCTCAGGTAATACTCTTGCCCCATCCTCCCAAAGTGCTGGAATTATGGGTATAAGCCACCTTACCTGGCCTGCCTAAGCAATTCTTAAACAAAATTCTTATTATTCTAACATAAGAAATTCTGTTTCTCTTAAATAAAAGCCTTATGATTCTAATGAAATCCTATTCATAGAAACAACTGCAATGGGATTGCAAATGGGATGCAAATGGTCAGTATTTAGAGCTTCAGTTACAAGGAAATGGTTCAAAGTACAGCCTGACTAATGCTTAATTATAACTATATCTCTGTCTAGAATTCTTGGTAACCCTGTGATGACAGTTTTACCCATCACTTAGTGCCCTTTCTCCAGAAAACCATCCAAATTGAATGAAAAAGACATAGAAAACCCAAATAGATCAATAACCATTAAAGAGAAGGCATTCAAAAATATAACTGAACTCTGAAACAGCCCAGTATCAAATAGTTTTAAACAAAAATTATATCAAATTTTCAAAGAATTTAAAACTCAAAAGATAAGGCCTGTGTTTCTATGAGTCTTTCCATAGCAGAGAGAGAAAGACAGTAAGTTATAATTTTTTTTTTTTTTTTTTTTGAGTCAGAGTCTCACTCTGTCATCCAGGTTGGAGTGCAGTGGCACACTCACAGCCACCTCAGCCTCAACCTGTAGGGCTCAGGCGATCCCTTCGCCTCAGTCTTCCAAGTAGCTGGGACTATAGGCGTGTGCCACCATGCCCAGCTAATTTTTTTGATGTATTGTAGAGATGAGGTCTCACAATGTTGCCCAGGCTAATCTTGAACCCATGGGCTCAGGCAATCCACTTGCCTCAGCCTCCCAAAGCGCTGGGATTACAGGCATGAGCCAACGTGCCTGGCTATCAATTTATTTTTATTTTTTTAATTAAGGAATATGGTTCATATAACCAAAATGTATATAGGAGACAATCCATTTTGAAATTAACATCACCCCAATATCAAAGCCTAAGAAAAGTAATACAAGAAACTGAATTTCAAACTAATATTCATAATCATAGTCAAATATCTTAAATAAAATATTATAAAATTGCAACATATACTAAAGGATTATATTACTATAAAAAGTACTTTAAAGATTTTATAAATATGATCACTATATTAATAGTTTAAAAAGTAAAAAAAATCAACTCTTTGTTTTTTTTTGAGTCAGAGTCTCACTCTGTCACCCAGGCTGGAGTGCAGTGACACAATCATGACTACTGCAGCCTTGACCTGCTGGGCTCAGACGATCCTTCTGCCTCAGGCTTCCAAGTAGTTGGAACTACAGGCATGCACCACTACAATCAGATAATTTTTTAAATTTATTGTGAAGACAGGGTCTTGCCAAGTTGCCCAACCTGGTCTTGAACCCCCAGTCTTAGGCAATCCTCTCACCTCCACCTCTCAAAGTGTTGGAATTACAGATGTGAGCTGCCATGCTAGGCCCAATTATCAAATTATTGCTGAAAAAGCCATTTGATAAACTTATTTCTATGTCCGAATTTTGTATAACGTTGAACTATAGTTATTTTTAAGGCAAATTATACAAACATTGGTTGGTTGTAGTAATTCAAGATGACATAAAACAAGAATAGTGACTGGTCCCAATGAGAGCAGAGTGGAAAGGACAGCCAGAGGATCTATTTCAAATGAAAACAAAAGTCTTCATGACTTGATTGAATAGAAAATGAAGAAGAGAGAAATAAAGTCAAAGATTAATTTGTCACCAGGAATAATAAAGGGGAGTTTTTGTTCCAGCTCTTCAGATGAAAAGTTTGTTTCGCCCTTGACAAAAGTCTATAATGGTCAAACTCTAAATGTTCATAAAGATAATGGTATTTCACAGCCGGGCATGGTGGCTCACGCTTGTAATCCCAGCACTTTGGGAGACTGAGGCAGGAGGATTTCTTGAGCCCAGAAGTTCGAGAGCAGCCTGGACAACATGGCAAGAACTTATCTCTATCAAAAAGTAGCCAGGGGTGGTGGCACGTGCCTGTGGTTCCAGCTACTTAGGAGTCTAGGGTAAGAGGATGACCTGAGCCCAGGAAATTGAGGCTGCAGAGAGTCATGATCATACCACTGCACTCCAGCCTGGGTGACAGTGAGACACCGACTCAATCAATCAATCAATCAATGTATTTCCCAAAGACAGCAGAGCATTGATGCGAAGTAGGATCCCACATTCGGAGCACAAGGTGAAAATGTAGACATGACAATCTGATTTCTTCTTCCTTTGTTGAAATGGCAGTTAATTTTTCAACAAAATGCTACTTTTTTTTGTTTTTGAGTCCAAGTCTCACTGTCACCCAGGCTGGAGTGCAGTCGCATGCACACAACCACCACAGCATTGACCGGCTGGGCTCAGGCAATCCTTCCACTTCAACCTTCCAAGTAGCTGAAACTACAGGCATGTGCCACCATGCCCAGCTAATTTTTTTATTTACTGTAGAGACAAGGTCTCACCATGTTGCCCAGGCTGGTCTCAAACCCGTGGGCTCAGGCAATCCTCTTGCCTCAGCCTACCAAAGTGCTGGCATTACAGGTTTGAACTTGCCTAAGATGCTAAATTTTAAAAGCTTAATTATTTTTTGAACTTTTTAAAAAGAGTTCTTGTTCCTGCATTTGTGGCAAAGCTGAGTTTAAGGACCCTGCAGATCGCACAGGGGCTTCCTCTTCAGATGGTCCTGACTGTGGTCCCTGGTCAGTGAATCTCATCCTCCTGAGATGTCATGGGTTCTCTGGGCGTCCTCTACCTACTGCCCTCTCCCAACAGTGCTCACGCAGGGCATATAGACACCACAGAGCGCACCCACATTTGACAGTTCCTGGAAGCCATTCGCCTGTGGTCTCACTCGAGAGGCCAGCGTGAGTCCTCTTTCAGCCAACGGCAGTGTCTGTGTGACCTTGGCCATATCCTTCTGTTCTAACAGGCTTTAGTTTCCCTCAGCTATAAAATTGGCATTTCAGCATCCATTCCACCCATTGGAGGGAATAATTGAAAATATCAAATAAGGTCATGGAAGAAAAATTTGTCATATGCCATAAATTACTATTAAAATGTCAAATATGCCATTAAAATTTTAGAAAATTATTTCCTAGAGGATTAAGTGAGACCTGGCTGTATTGGGTATGCTACCTATTTGCAGCCTGGAGTTTATATATGGAGAAACAGGGGAATGGCATGCCCAATGACACAGAAATGTTACATCGTTATTTCAGGCATAATACCAAGTATTAAGAGGACACAGGAGATGCCTTGCTACGCTCTCAAAAATGTTGCTACCTAGTGCAGAAGGAAGAAAACCCTTAAAGATTAGTTTGGTTATGAAAAAGAAAAGCACAGCTGGCTGATTAATGAGATCTATCAACCACATATTATTATAACTTATCTTGGATGGTTATTGACTAATTCGGTAAAATGTGGCAATTTTAATTTGCAAAATTTCGTTGAGAAATGTGAAGATGAGCGTGCTGTGGATGTTATTAGCCAGCCTGAAACCTAAGGTTAACAGATGAACTTGTGAAATGAAGTAAGTTTAAAGGTTTGTGTTTTGCAGTTGCCAAAAAAATTGCAAGTGAATATGGCTTAAAGCGGCTATCAATAGGAGAAGCTTTGCGTTACATATTAAACAACTACCCAGACACAGAGCTGGCACTCATGTTAAATTGGCATCTTCATAAAGGAATGACAGCGCCTGATGAACTGGCTGTTCAAGCCTTAGAGCTTTCCCTGATGGAAAGTGTGTGCAATACCACAGGGTAAGTGAGTGGGGTGAGCGGAGGAGGCGGGGCAGTTAAATCTTTTAAGAAACTGTCCACTAGTGGCCGGGCATACTAGCTCACACCTGTCATCCCAGCACTTTGGGAGGCAGCAGCGGGAGGATTGCCTGAGCCCAGGGGTTCGAGACTAGCCTGGGCAACTGGGTGAGACCTTGTGTCTATAATACGTTAAAAAATTAGCCAGGTGTGGTGGTGCATGCCTATGATTCCAGCTACTCCGGAGACTGAAGCAGAAGGATTGCTTGAGTCCAGTAGGTTGAAGCTGCAGTGGCCATGATCATGCCATTGCACTCCAGCGTGGGCCATAGAGTGAGACTCCAACTCAAAAAAAAAAAAAAGTTACCTACTAGCGATATGAAACACTTATCTTAAATAGAGTTTAAAGCTCTTGTAAAGGATGTGACCTACTTCTCAAACTCTGGGCACCTATACTGCTATAGATTTTAATTCTCTCTAGCAGCCAAGTCATTTCACTCCCCACAACCCCTGAACTGTCCAAAAGCCTTCAGGCTCACATAGTCCACAAATGAGGACAGTGTGACTTCCATGCCCCCAGTAGAGCTTCTCACTTCTCCATGGAGTGGCAGAGGGGCGGCTGTCCCCTATGACCAGGTGCTGGTTCAGTGGAGATGGTCCCTCCCTGGCTCAGCTCTCTGCATAGGTAGCAGTGCCTCTCCCTGAATGCCACATGTGAACAAGACAGTGACATGCCTGAGCCACTTTCACATGCCTGTGCTAGACTGTTACTCACCCAACACAGCCAGGGCCACCTGTAGTAAAAGCCCCTCCTGCCTGGCACGCTGGCTCACACCTGTAATCCCAGCACTTTGGAGCAGAGGCGAGATGGTTGCTTGAGCCTGGGGCTTTGAGACCAGCCTGGGCAACCATGGCAAGACCTTATCTCTACAATAAATCAAAAAATTACCCAGGCATTATGGCGTACACCTGTAGTTCCAGCTACTTGGAAGGCTGAGGTGAGTGTGCCACTGCACTCCAGCCTGGGTGACAGTGAGACTCCGACTCCAAAAAAAAAAAGCCCCTCCCCAAGAAGCCAGAGGTCCAGATCTTAAGCACAAGTCTCCCACCCAGACTCCCTGGATTTACCTGTTTGTCTTATATGAGGAGCGCTCTTGCCCTTCCTTGCCTCTGCTCTTAATCAAATCCCTGAGCAGTTCTCCTCATTTCAATTACTGGGAGCAGATTCCTGGGTATCAGGCTTTTTCCCCAGAGAAGGCTTTGGAACTTTCCAAACTGAGTTACCTCTTCTGGTGTTCACCACTGCATAGGAAGTATCTCAGTGAGTCAGCCGTGGTTGCATCTACAGGGTGTTATTTCACCTTAACACCAGGACAGTGACTCTTCATTTGCCCCAAATTTCCCTAATCCTCAGGCCACTCAAGTGACCCTTCCCAGGACAAAGAAATGGAGCTACTCTCTATTTAAAAAAACAGCAGTGGCACCCTCATACTTCTCTATTAGGCTAGCCTAGCTATGTTTGCTTACAATCCCTTCTGCCACAGAGTTATAAACTAGTACCTAGAGACGTCACTGGTGAGCACTGAGGAAGGAAGTCTTATGACTTATGCCAAACCAACCCTACCTGACGGCCATCAGCCAGCATGCCAGCTTGGTCTCACCTCATTGTGAGTTTCCTGGCGACAGGGGCCACTCTTCCCAGACTTACGAACAGTGTTTTGATCTTCCTCTCAGTTTGATAGTGACAACTCATTTTCTCAAACTGAAGAACTAACTTTTTAAACTCTCTTAAATTAAATTACCACGGTCATTTCTGCTTAGAGGCATGCATCATGGGTCTTCATTGAATGATTTCTCTTCAGATGGCATAGGGGCCCCCCTCTCCAACTCTCCATCTTCCCCTCTGCACCCCATCTTCCTCACAGGATGTTCACTATGAAAGCAAGCTTGGAGCACATTTTTCCTCTATTTGCTTAGTGTCTCACCAAAATGTGATTTATTGAGCAGCTAATATGTGCCAGGTCCTGTTCTAGTTGTTTTACATACCTGATCTCCAATCTTTAAAACAACTCTCACCGTGTGGATGGCTCACACCGGTAATCCCAGCACTTTGGGAGACTGAGGCTAGAGGACTGTGCAAACCCAGGATTTGAGACCAGTCTGAGCAACTTGGTGAGACCTCGTCTCTACAATAAATTAAAAAATTAGCCAGACGTGGTGGCACATGCCTACAGTTCCAGCTACTTGGAAGACTGAAGCTGAAGGATCACCTGAGCCCAGCAGGTCAAGACTGCAGTGGCCGTGAGTGTGCCACTGTAAAAAAAAAAGACGTAGAGCAGAGGGCAAAATGTGGAGAAGATAAGGAAGAGCCCAGGGCTGCTATTAAAGAGACAGGCAGGCTCTGGAAGGTTCTGGAGACGTAAAGGGGGCATGAGAGGAAAAGGAATGCGGAATTTTCATTTTCATGTTTCTCCTTGTTAGTGTTGTCATCGATGGATATCCTGTAACTACACACCAAATGAGCCTTCTGGAAGCTAGGTCAGTCATTCCCATGGTCATCTTTGAGTTGAATGTACCTTCCAAGGAGATTTTCAAAAGATTGCTCCTGGAAAAAAAAAATCAACAAAGGTAATGTACCTGATGGAAACAGTGATGAAGAAATAAACTTTAATCATGGGGTGAGGGGAATGAAAGGTAATCATGGGGTGGGGGCATGTTTTTAACAGCTTTTTCCATCTCCTCTCTGTTTCTCTACTAGTTTGCCTTACCCTCTGCACAACAGTGCACAGATTATAGCTGTGAAGAATGCAAAGTACCGTAAAAATATTGGTGAGATTAGGCAATATTATCAGGAACAGCACCAGAACTGGTATGTGATCGATGGATTTCACAGCAAATGGTGGGTCTGGAATGAAGTCATTAAGAATGTCCAAATGGTGAATAAATACTTGCAGACATACCTGGAAAAAATAAAAGCAGGTAAGAAAGCATTTAAAAAATCAGAATAACATATACATTTAAAGCTTAAACATAGGCTGGCCATGGTGGCTCTCGCCTATAATCCCAGCATTTTGGGAGGCCAAGGTGAGGATTGCCTGAGCCCACAGATTCGAGACTAGTCTGGGCAATTTGGTGAGACCTCATCTCTACAATAAATCAAAAAACTTAGCCGGGCGAGGTGGTGTGTGCCTGTAGTTCCAGCTACTTGGAAGGCTGAGGCAGAAGGATCAACTGAACCCAGCAGGTCGAGGCTGCAGTGGCCGTGAGCATGCTACGGCACTCCAGCCTGGGTGACAGAGTGAGACTCCCACTCAAAAAAAATAAATAAATAGAGCTTAAACATGCCTGACTCATGTTACTGCAATTCATTCCATCTGAACATTTGTCCTGACAATCTTAATCAGTATTTTGAATATCTGGCACTCTTCTTTTTAAAAAAAATTTTTATTTTAAAGATGCGGGGTACAATTCAGGGTTAGGTATACAAATGGCCGTTGCGCAGGTAAAGTTTGGCCCTCACTTTGGTCCCCACTTCACCTGGTTTGAGATCAGATACCCTTCTTGATAAAGCATTGCCCTCCACCCCGGAAGTTTCCCATTTACTGCCACTCCCTTTCTTGTAGTATGGCACTCTTCAATTATTGTGATACCATGGTCTGAATATTTGTTTACCCCCAAAAAACTCGTATGTTAAAATCAAATCCCAATGTAATCGCATTAAAAGATAGGACCTTTAGGGGGTGATGAAGTCATGAGGGCCTTGTCCTCACGAATGGAATTAATGTCCTTAGAAAAAAAGGCTTAGGCCAGGTGCAGGTGCGATCTCCTGGGAGGCGGGAGGATCCCTTGAGCCCAGGAGTTCTAGACCAGTCTGAGCAGCATAGCAAGCTCTCGCCTCTATGCATTTTTGCAAATACAAGAAATAACAAAAACAAAAGAGGCTTAAAGGATACCTCACCATGTGAATACACAGCAAGAAAGTGCCATCTGTAAAGAACAGGACCTCATCAGACATCGAATCTGCTGGTACCTTGATCTTGGGCTTCCCAGCCTCCAAACCCTGAGCAATACATTTTTGTTGTTTATAAATTACCCAGTCTGTGAAATTACTCAGTTTACAAATTACCTAGCTGTTATAGCAGCTAGAACAGACTAAGACACGTGAACATGTTTGTTATAATAAATGATTTACTTGGCCAGGCGAGGTGGCACAGTCTGTAATCCCAGCACTTTGGGAGGCTGAGATAAAAGGATTGCCTGAGTCTGGGGGTTAGAGACCAGCCTGGGCAACTTGGTGAGACCTCATCCCTACAATAAATCAAAAAATAAGCCAGGCATGGTGACATGTGTCTGTAGTTCCAGCTACTTGGAAGGCTGAGGTGGAAGGATCAACTGAGCACAGCAGGTCGAGGCTGCAGCGGCCATGAGCATGCCACTGCACTCCAGCCTGAGTAACAAGAGTAAGACTTCAACCCAAAAATAAAAAGCTAAAAATAAATGACTGACTTAAGCTATCATTTGTTGGATGCCAATGGGAGCCTAGGACATAAAAAGTACATGATCTCTCACCAGAAGGGTTTATAGTGTTTGACATGCCAAGTAAGAAGCAGTTTTCCAGAATTTTTGAAGTAGTTCTATGAGGGTAGTGGTTTGTGAAATTCCTAAAATTTTATTTAGGAACCTAGAATTAAAGTTGTTTTTACTACTTACATCCATTATGGTGTGATTAAAAAAGCTAAACTTGAGCACTAAAATGTCTTTCAATCTATATCAGGAATGCATGAAAGAACATAGTTGCTTAAATCATGTCCTATTAAATAGTCCTTTGACTTTTCTCCAAAAATACACAAAATAGAAGGAAAGTCATCTACATCTGATAGATCTTAAAAAGAGTGACGACTATAAAAAAGTTAACTGTAGGAGTCTCACAGGCATCTGTTTAATGACTTTGTTTAACTTCAGGAACTCAACAAAACCTATAATGAGGAACATGGGAGCAGTGTGGCTAAGAGAATCTTGTACAAGGAAAAGCAGTGAGGATTCTGATAAGAACTGCATCACTGCATCTTGATTTGTTTCATTATTTACATAAGGTGCTTCCTCCTCCCCTACTCCTGGACTAAAGGCAGTTGTGGACAGACTGCATGATGGAAACCTCTCCTTTTCAGGATGAGGTCTGGCTTTTTGGGGAGAGGTGGGAATGGTAGTTAGTATCATCTACTGGACCGCCACAGTCTCCTCTCCTGTAGAGGCAGGAAGATTTGTTCAGCAATGATGTGACAAGACACAGGTCCACAACGTGGACCCACAATTCTAAAATCCAGAAACCTCAAGTTTATTCATAAATCAGTCGGGAGCAAAACCGACATGAACTGACTTGTGGCTATTACAGTCTCTATGTACCCCAAAAGGGTCACCCTATTTGGTTGGAGAAACTTGATTCATGGATTACAGGGTGCTGCCCCAGACCCTGTGAGGGTGTAATATATTTCTTAAATCTGAAATATGCTGAATTATCCGATGTATCTGTCCCCAAGGGTTTTAGATAGCAGATTGTAGTTCTGTAACTACAATCTACTATCTAGTTAGCTCAGATCCTAACAATTAAGCCAAACTATGATTTGGGCTTCATAATTTTATAGTTAATTCAAGACCATCTAGGCATAATCTTTAAAAAAGATAAAACTTTTCCATGGTAAAAGGACCATTAAACACAATACTCATATAATGGGATCAAAATGTACTCATTATAACTAAAGTGTTTTTAAATAGTAATTTTACTTTCTGTAACATCACATATTGCTTTGAAGTCCTCATTCCAGTAGGGTATTGAAGAGGAAACTCTTAAATTTGTCCATTAAAAAACGTGGGCTCTTTCTTTTTAAAATGGACTCTTTAGCATATCAAAACCACTTTTGGATAAATGTTTCTTCCCTTCTCTTGGGTGGCATCTTCCAAGAGGAAGAAGTTTGTATAAGTAACATCATGTCAAACTATTTGTACTTCCTGAAAGCTACCCTATAGAAATTTTTAAAATACATAGCAAATGTATATATGTGTATATAAAATATGTTTATAACATTTATGGTTTATAATAACTAAGAACTAAAACAGTCAAAACATTTGCCAATAGATAAATGGTTATGGAAGTCACATGTATATTTATACAGTGGAATACTATGCATCAATTAAAAAGAATTAGGTGAATCATATAAACTTGTGTGGAAAGATGTCCAAGACCATAACTCACTGATAAAAGCCAGTTGCAGAATAATGTTTACAGTACAATGACATAAACAAAAAAAGTGTATATGCAAATGTATAGAAAAAAGACAAAAGGATATAAACATGACATTAAATTTCTCCACCCAAATAGGGTGACCCTTCCCCCCTTAATTGGTATACATAAAGACAGTAAATAGTCACATGTCAGCTCTTGTCAAGTTTTGCTCTCAAATGATTTATGAATAAACACGAGGTTTTTGGATATTAGAATTGTGGGTCCAAGTCGTGGACCTGTGTCACATCATTTTATTGCCACATCAATCTCCCTGCCTCTACAGGGGAGGAGACTGAGGCAGTCCAGAAGATGAGGTCACCTGACACTAACTACCCAATAGCAATGACCTCTCAGAAGAAGCGAGATTGAGAGGACAAAGGTGTAAATAGTGACTTTTACTTTTTACTCTAGTGTTTGGAATGTTATAATGCATATGTATTTGTACAGTGTTGTGTAGTTGAAATTATTTTTAAACTCGTGTTTTTCTAAGGAAAAAAGTTTATCTAACAACAGTGACTTAATAACAGGGAAAGCTGCCTGCATTGACAAGTTATGCATCACACCACAAGAGCTGATTTCTCGCCTGGGAGAATTTGGACAGTTCTGCCCCGTCAGCCTGGCAGAATCACAGGAACTATATGACTGCTCTGTAACCAACTCCCTGGAATTTGCAGCAGAGTTCAGGGGGCACTATTATAAAATGAGTTCTCGGGAAAAACTGAATGTAAGTATGTTCCCAACTCCAAATATTTGCTAAAGAAAGAAAATGAACCAACTGAGATGGATGGCTCACGCCTGTAGTCCCAGCACTCCAGTAGGCCAAGGAGGGAGGATTGCTCAAGGTCAGGAATTCAAGACCCCAGTCTGGGTGACATAGCAAAACCCCATCTCTACAAAACATTTTTTTAAAAAAATTAGCCAAGCTGGGCTCGGTGGCTCAGCCTGTAATCCCGTGCCTTTGGGAGGCTGAGGTGAGTGGATTGCCTGAGCCCGCGGGTTTGAGACCCGCCTGTGCAGTGAGACCTCATCTCT